GCTACGGCAGTTTATAGCCTGGCTGTACCCAGTGACCTTCTCAATTAAGAGAGACCTTCCTTCCCACCCCTCCAGTCCTCCCACAGGCTCCAAACACTTCCAGTTCCCACTCAACAGTAGAAGCCCCCAGTCCCTTGAGAGTGGACGGTGACATTTTTGCTTTAGCTGCTTTTTTTTTTCTGGTTATCAGCAGAAGGATCACTAAGGACTCGAAATGGCCGAGTGCCAGGGCGGCTACTGGTAGAGATGGTGGGACTTGTTGCTGTTGGTCTGGTTGACAGCAGGGGCTGGGTTTTGGGGGGGGTCTGTTGTTCAAGAATGCGGGGATGGCTCAGCCCTGCCTGCAGCGGTTTGCAGGGGCAGACAGGTAAGTGCCCAACCTACGTGAGCGTGTGTGTGAACACAGGACAGGCTCTGGCTTTCACCCATCCACTCTGCCTCTCTCCTCACCATCACTGCCACTAAAACCATGAGCTGCACCAGTACTCAACCAGCCCAACCCCTTGTTGACCTTGTTGGGCATCAGCTCTGGGCGTGGGGAGCTCCAGCTCCGCATCTCACCCACTCTCCAGGCATTTACCTACTGCTGGAAAGCCGCCTGCACGGAGCGCTGCGGTGGCAGAACGGAGCATCTAAAGGTAGGACACCTCTGAATGAAACCTGTGTTATGTGTTGAGTAAAGATGCGTTGATATCTCATGGCCATGCTGTCAGTGGAAGCTCTGGAAGTCAGTCACATACCATTCCCCCAACAGGATGTTTTCAGTTTGTTTATCCTTCGAGGGGGAAGAAAATGATGTGACTTCTAATACAGCAAGGTTAGTGAGTCTGAGTCTTGCTGTGACTTCACAGGATTTGTTTGCTAAATTCGCAGTTTTTCAGATTCTGAGAGTAACCACTTCTGAATAATTTCTTTTTTAAAGGAAATGATAAAGTTCAGCAGAATAAATCAGCTAAAGCTCTGTGGGGCTTTGGGGAATGGAGGCATCTGGCTTTGACTGAGGAATTAAGTGAGCAGACCGGCAGTGAGACCGTTTGCTTGACACCAGTTATGGAGCCTTTACAATTCTGTGAAGTGAAATAGTGGTGAGCAGGGTAGTGAAATAGTGGTGAGCAGGGCAGTGCAATAGTGATGAGCAGGGTAGTGCAATAGTGATGAGCAGGGTAGTGCAATAGTGATGAGCAGGGTAGTGCAATAGTGATGAGCAGGGTAGTGAAATAGTGGTGAGCAGGGCAGTGCAATAGTGGTGAGCAGGGCAGTGCAATAGTGATGAGCAGGGCAGTGCAATAGTGATGAGCAGGGCAGTGAAATAGTGGTGAGCAGAGCAGTGAAATAGTGGTGAGCAGGGCAGTGCAATAGTGGTGAGCAGGGTAGCACCGGCAGCTCTTCTGGCTCTGATGGTGTTTGTGGTGTTTGGTACTTCTCCTCAAACCCAGCCATCACGTCATCATTCTTACACATGCAGGAATACAGACGTTTTCAGTCCATGTTGTGCTAAAGGTTGAAAGGTGTGTCTCAAGGTGAATAATACCCCAAGGCAAAGATTTTCATCTCTATAACCACAAACATTTAAATCAAATATCTTTAATACAAACTTTCCATGAGAAATGAAGCGTCTGACTTCATTTTCTTCTTTTTAAGCAGTGTGTAGGTGTCACTTCAGCCCCTCTGTGCCCGTTTACCCTGAGCCAAGGCTGTGCCCATGGTTTTGGCAGGTCCACAGCGTTTTGCCCTCAGTGATCGGTGCCCTGAGGGGGTGTTGGTTTGCAGTGGTGAGGATGAGGAGGGTGAGGAAGGCTCCCAGCAGTGGCTGTTACCAGGCTGTGCTCTGGGCTGGGGCAGGGTGTCTGAATTCTGGCAGCTTTGTCGCTCTGCTCTGTGGGACTACCCAAATCATATCTCTATAAAACCGCTTCTGTGTTTGTAACCAGCTGAGTAATCTGGGCTTTGCAGGAAGCCTCAGGCAGCTCCACACGCTGCAGCCGGTCTGTCCTCTCTGTTACTGCCCTGCACGGGGTTCTGGTGCTCCCCTGTAATTACCGGACCCACAATTAGGGTGTGTGGCAGTGGGGATGGTCTCAGGGTGCCTCGGCCTTTGCGCTCCTTCGAAACCCTGCCAAATTCTCTGCCAGTCCTCTGGGACCCAGCTTTGAGCTCTGCTTCAGGAGTTTGGGGTTTTTTCTTGCATTCTTCACCATTTTCTGTAGTTTTTGGGCTGTGGGACAGGGCCATGATGTTTCAGGGCTCCTCGAGGAGGGGTGATCAGCTGGCTGAGCTGGGAGCCAGCACTCACCACATTTCAAACCCTGCAGCTGAGGAGCTGTAAAATTCCAGGTGTGTGGAGGCCAGGAAGTCCTGCTTTCCTCCTCGAAAGAAAAAGGGATTTATTTCTCAACAAAAAAACTCTTTAAGAGCACAAGTACAAAAGAATCCTGGATTCAGTGTTTCCATCCTTTTGAGAGAGGGACCTCTCTCTGCTTCCCTAACGGGGCACCAGCAAAGGTCAGTAAATTAAAAACTACTCCAGACCAGAATTTGACCTAATCCTTATTTTCTGCTAAATGCACTGCTGAAGAAAATGAGCTGGTGGACATTTCTGTGCAGGAGAAATGCCTTCCTTAATTAGGGCCTTGTCTTGCTTTATTCTGGGGCTTGGTGCCTTCAGGGGTTGGTGCATCTCTCGCCCTTTGTCCCCATGGGCAGGTGGGCACGATGACCCCAGTGTCCCATCCAACCTCACCATCCCACCAGGTCCCAGCCTGAGCTGAAGGTGTTCTGAGATGGGTACCCACATGGGATGGGCAGAGCGAGCACATGATGAGCCTTTCAGCATTAATGTCACTTTGAAATCTTTGCTTGTGATGTTGTCCCGTGGCACCAGTGGGTTGTCCATCAGTGGCTTTGTGTCATGTCTCACACGTGCTGTGAAGCGGGCAGAATGTGGCAGCTGTGAAAGGGAAAACACATTTTTTCTGCTGTCACAAGGTACCAAACTCTGGTTTTCCTTTGCTCAGGAAAAGCTGTGACATTGTGTTGCCCCAAAGCGGTGTCCACCTTAGAGCTGCTCTCCAGCCCAGCCATCAGCAGGGACAGCTGTGTGCCCCAGACCATCAAACCTCCGTAAAACCATCACTAGATGCCTCCTCCCCACAGTCTGCAGCTGGATTCAGGGCTTCAACCTTCATCCTTCAAGCTTTGGTAGAGCCAAGTGGGGTGGCCCCAGAGAGGACGTTTCACGCTGGCGCGGTGGCTGCTGGCTGCACGGGAGCTGTGGCAGAAACACTTTGGGAAACTGCAGGGAAAGGGGCTGGATCAGTTTGATGTTCTTGCTTCTTATTAAGCTGAAAACTGGTTGTGTGAGAATAAGTCCTGTTGATCTCCGTGGGAGACTTGTTGGAGCACAGAGGTTAAAAAGCTGCAAGTTTGGGGGATTTCTTGTTCTGCTGCAGCGAGCACCGATGCATTCAAAGGGAGCCTTTAAACATTCAGTGCTGAACATTGTGGGCACTGCCTGTGGAATTAGAGATGTTTGTTGGAGCTTTTGTTTCCCAAAGCCTCTCAGCTCCCTTCTGAATGCTCGTGTATCCCCCAGGTCTGCTCCACAGGGAGCTGCGTGGGTTCCTAAACCCTCTGGTGAGTGTGTGCCACTTCCCCGGCACCGTGATGGGGTCAGATCTTCCCGCTTGGGTGCCATGTCCCTGTCCTCCCCCCATGGGGATCACTGTCCCCCACAGGGATCGTGGTCCTTCTCAGACTGTCCTTCCCTCCAGCATGGTCCTCCTTCACCAACCGGGAGGGAAATTGTTTTGCTGCAGGGTGAAGGTTCTTCCTTCCCAGCCCCCAGTCGGGGTTTTACTATGGGAATGCGTTTATTTATTAGGGCTGGTTTTATTTTTATGGAAAAACTGCTCTGGGCAGGAGTTGTACTCTGTGAGTCAGCAGGACTGCTGTCCCATGCCAGGAGCTGTCACTGCGGCGGCGGGGTGCGAGGGAGCGGGGCTGGCTGGCCGACCGCGGCCACCAAAGCCCCAGAGAGGGGGATTTGTTTTTAAATAAGCGTTGAGTTTCTTTATCCTGCCCTCGCAGAAGATGCCTGCCTTGGAAAACATGGCAAAACAAGAACCAGAAGGTGCTGTGTTTCTAGCAGAGATACAAACTGCGCCTGAAGTGGGGGGAGATTTCAAACTACATTGTGTGATGATGAAAAGCAGAAGATTTAAGATTGTGGGTTTTAAAGTCCTTTAAGAAAATCACTTTGCTGCGGTGGCTCTGCAGTTCATCCCTGTGAAGCCTCTGGTGTGGGTGTATCCCTGCAGATAACCAACACCTTGGTGGGTGTTTGCTTTGTATTTTTTGGTCTCGGTTTTATTTATTTATTAGTCTCATCTCTGTCTCTTGTATTACGCAAAGACCTGTGCTGGGTGCACGGGTGGTCATGCTGAGCACTGAAATCTGGCTGAGGCCAAACCAGAGGTGGGTGCTGTTACACAGCCTCGTTAGCATCACCTTTTAGTGTTGAAAATACGTGTAATGCTTTAGCTTTTAACCAGCTCTTGGGGGTTATGCTGGGTGCTTCTGACTGGCTTCCTACCTGTGCCTCGCTGCAGGCTTGGACAGTGGTTTGCAAAGCTGAACAACTGATGTGTGCTGGAAAATAAACAGCAGCCAAAACTTACTGGGGGAGGTAGATGGAGTCGCCAGGGTTTCAGTTTCTCCTCTCACAGTAATTTCGTGTTGTGAAGGTGGGGTGGGGCCAGGTGCTGCTCAGCCAGGTAACCAGATGGGCTGCATTTTTGCTTTGCGACTCCACGAAATTGCCAACCTGCACCCTTGTGAGTAGGAACGAGCAACCCAGGGGGGCTTCTGCCTTCTCTTTGTGAAGGGGAGGTGAGTGTCAGAGGCACAGGGAAGGGCTGGGGTGGGTCACAGGGCACTGGCAGGTAGCCCAAGGGATGCTTGCCCAAGTCCCACAGGTGCCCGTTGCAGCCATAGCCCCCCTTGGGCAAGTGCTGGTTTGGCTTTTGCCATCCACACTGTGGATGCTGCTGTTCCATGCCCAGCAAATAGGACTAGAATGTGAGACACTTTTATTTTTTCAACACTTTTGTTAAAGTCCTTGGCTGTGTCTCTGCAGTAATGTGTCCCAGGGGTGGTTTGAGGGTTTATTTTATCCCCTCCTGCCCGTTTTGATTTTTCTCTGCCTCTGAAGGACAGCTCCACTACCTGTGCCTGATGGGACCACTGGGATGTTTCTGACCAGTTATTTCTTACAGGTTTCTAATGCTCTCTTAGAAACTGCTTGATTTCTGAAGTGATAGAACCCTCAGTCTCTGCTGGAAGATTATTTAGCAGGGTTCTCAGAGGCAAAACCATCCCATTTCTGGGCTGCCTTTGTGACAGGGTTCCCTGGGAGAACCTGATCATTTCTTCTCACCTGTTCTTCCCCAGCTGTGTGCAGGGATTCATGCAAACCTGCCTGGTTGCCTTTAGCATCATGAGTCCCACCGTACATGGTGTGTCCCCGTCTGCCCCTCTCCTGTGTGTTGGGTTGAAGAAGCAGCGCTCTGCAGCAGCTCAGCCTGCTGTCATCCCATCGCATCCATTGCGTTCTCAGACACTGGCCCAGGTTGCCCAGAGAAGCTGTGGCTGCTCCTCCCTGGAAGTGTTGAAGGCCAGGCTGGATGAGGCTTTGAGCAACCTGGTCTAGTGGAAGGTGTCCCTGCTGCTGGCAGTGGGGGTGGAACTGGATGAGCTTTAAGGTCCCTTCAAACCCAAACCAGTCTGGGATTCTATAAGTTGCCTATTTTTCCTGTGCAGTGTGACTTTGGTTTAATGCCCCGAGGAAGCAGCGTGGGCACAAGGTGTGCAGGCACTGGGGTGCTGAGCAGGCAGTGGGAGCTGGGTCTGGGGTGGCCGGGGCCAGCGGGGTGGGAGTGGGATGAGTGGGGAGGAGGTTTCACCCGTGCGCAGCAGGCACAGAAATTGGCCTTTTTCTGTGGGGTGGGACTGGAGTGTCAGCTGGGTGAGTGGGTGCCTCTAAAAATAGCAGGGACTGAGCTATTCGATAGCCCAGGACTGACCCAGCACGACCCTGCCGGGTCTTCTCTGCTGCTCTAAAGCCTTGAGAAGCCCCTGGACTGGGGGAGGGATCCCTGGAGTGCATGGCTTGGCAGTCTTGGCATCTTGTTAACGTAGGATCGTGTCCTGGTTTTCAGCTGGGAAAGAGCTGATTTCTTTTTAGGAGCTAGAACAGTGCTGCAT